AACGCGTTTGATTAGTCGTAAATAAATAAAATTAATTTATAGTCCGATTTGACAAGTCAATTTAAATTCATTGACTTAAAACCAATAAATTACGTGGGATTTGAATAATTGAATTATACAGGATCTAAATAGTAATGCCTAACTCTCTTCATATCTGCCCCAGAAATAGAATCCAAACTCAATTCAACCTGGTTATTTTATATTCTGTTATTTTTTAAAATAAAATTTGATAATTTATATAACTCATAGTAACCATATAGTACCATATAGTACTCATGTAACCAATGTTTTGATTGTTAAATAAGAGAAGTAAATATTTGAAAAATATGAAAAATTCAAATTTCTTAAAAATAAGAAAGAAATTAAGTACATCTATTTTTAGTCTTAATATCCGGAGGAGTTATTATTATATTACATTTATATTCCTGTATTTTTCAAATTAATTTTTGATTAGTAAGTAATTAAATTAAAGGAGTGAACAAATTAAGGGTGAAGTCTGGTCTAGAAGTATGAATTTTTGTGGTTTTTAAAGAACCAAAAAAGGCGAAAAATATAATATTTTCACAAGTTAATAGTTAATGTTTTGAGAATAAAAAAGATTTAAATTAAAACTAGTCATAAAGTTTCCAATTCTGGAGAGTGTTGAAGTAATAAAGATGAAGGTGGAGTATCTAACAAAATTAGCATCTAATCATACACGTGGGTTTTAGCCCTCCAAAATAATATGAAGAAATATATATTACTATATAGAATAATCGTGTAGACTACGACCAAGGATAAAAATTTGCACTTAACCATACCCATGATTATAGCCCTCCAATAATCTGAAAAATATACATTATTATATAGAATAATCGTATTAACTACGACCAAGTACAATTTTTTTCACAAATTAGAGACTGTCTAAAAAAAATATTTTTTTGCAACTTTTTTGTTATTCTCGAATTTTTAAAAAATAGTAAAAATAGAATTTGGAAATGAGCTTAGTTCACACATTAAAAACTGAAAATCTGGAATAATTTAAGTAAATCGGTCCAGTAGAAGTTGAGAAATCGTGAGTATCGTATCAAAAAAGACAGTTTTGAGAAAACGAGCTTAAAGCTTCGTGAAGGAATTAACGGAGGAGGATTACGAAACGCAGTCAAACAGCTGTATCTCCGAAAATAATTTAAATTTTGAAAATTCTTTTGCACACATATCAAAAATAAATTTATTTATCCACCTTTCTAGACCAAAACACCTCCTGAAGTATGCAGAATCTAAATGATAATAAGATACTATGCTCAAATCCTGCTTCAAACATGCAGTTACATTCAGTCATTTTAAATCAATATTTGATATTAATTTGAAATTCGACTTCTTGTTCTAACATTACATCTTTTGTAGAGAAAATAAAAAAGAGCAAATATAAACTACAGTCCTTTACTTTTATTAGCCTTGACCCTAGTAGTAGAGACAAACCTATAGCCTTTTTATCCCTATCTTAATATAATCAATTTTCAATTAATGAGCAATAAAAATAAAAGAAAAGTTCAAATATCCAGAATTTATTTGTGATAAACTACTGAACCAACAGCACTGTGAATTAGTTTTATACACATCACGACGGTTCAGAATAAAATTAGCACATAACTTCAAACGCTAGTTTTAGCAGTTAGCGGTTTATTTTACTTATTTCTCCTTAGTTATAATAATTTTTGTGATATAAAGTAAAAAATTGACCAGCTTACCGTCTATCCAGTCTCGCACAAATGATAAAAGTACTCAAGACAAGCGTGAATTCATCTGAACTGCATAAACGCGACAATCCGTTGCTAATACTGGTTCGCAACGCTTGATAGCAAAACGATACGCCCATTTCGCACCTTATTATTCTTTATTGCAACTACTAATTATTTACACCTGTCTATTTGACGGAGTCATCGAACACCAAGTCAAAAATCAATATTAGAAAAAATGGAATAAATAACAAGACTCTTAGGGTGGCAAATCCAGTTGCCAGTAATTAATGATGATAAACTTTGTTGCACTAGTACTTACTAAATGGTAACAGTAATTATTATCAAATATTTACTATAGATTTATTATTAATTGTTGTAAGGATTTGCGACTACTAATCCAAAGTATGTAACATAAAACTACAACACCGATTTGTAAGAAGTTCTTTTGTTACAAAGATTTCATCTCCATCCGCCAGAAATCTTTTAAGACACGTCACGAAAGCCAAAGTGCCGTGAAGGAAAATCATCACGCAATTCTGAAATGGATAAACGCCATCGCCCATCGTGATAGTAATCGCACTACAGCACGGTTATTAAATAGAATGAATATACAATCGTATAAAATAAAATAAAGAATATGATGATATAGTGTTTCTTTGTATTAGGTCGCTTCCCTCCTGACCGATTAAAAGATCGGAGACAGTCAACTTGAAGGGTAGTAGTAAATGACAAGGATAAAAATCTATAAAGATCTAAAAAATCTATAGGTCTGAAGATAATAAAAATTAAAATTTATCTCTTTTTTTGCTCCCATTTACATAAAATTGTGTACTATTTGTATAGGCAAAATTTTCCTTTGGCCTCTATGTAAAATTTCTTGATTTTTAATGTGACCATATTTTTTTTAGATCAAAACCGGTGGGTTTATAAATAACTTAAATATGACTTAAAGTAACAAATACTATTTAAAGATGCAATAGAAATTTTTTCTAAAGGATTTTTTTAAATCAAAATTACTGACTTTTAGTAAGAACTTCATTACTCGTTCATGTTATATAATATTTATGCTATATTGAGCCGTCTTTGAAATTTTGAGTTTGATATAACCATACTCGTTGTATATATCACTTTCAGATATTTTATGGGTAATTGTTATTTTACAATCAACTAATTGCGATTCTATTTGAACCAAACCCTGGGACAAATAATCTAAATCTGGGACAATTATTGCTCATAATATCAGCATAATTACCATTATCATTAAGAAGCTATTCTAGTCTAAATTTTTTAAAAAGTCTAATTTTTGTATTTTAAAACTTTAACTAAATCCAAGAATATGTGTGCAAAAAGATTTACCAAAAACTTCAATTATTTTTGGAGATATAATTATTAGACCACGATAATCCTCATGTGTAATATCGTGGGTTTCAACATTATTTGATTTTTTTACAGAGTTTTGTTTATGGACTATTCTTCAGTATGAACCCAACCCCAAATCACCAATAGAATTTTTACTATCTTATCGAGAATAACAAAAAAAAGTTATAAAAATCAAAGACAATCGTTGAGATTTTTTTTTAACTTGTCCATAACTCATACGGATGCAATACAATATTCTAGATTGTTTACTTTAAATTGTTGAGAGGGGTAAAAAAGTAAAATAAAATGCTCTAGAGTAGAATAAAATGCTCTAGACTAGAACACCCCCTTAAAAAACCAAAGTGTGCAAGACAATCCCCATTTTGAAACAAAAATTTTGCATACGGATGCAATACAATATTCTAGATTTTTTCCTTAGATTCTTTAGAGGGGTAAAAAAATAAAATAAAATGCTCTAGACTAGAATACTCTCTTAAGAAACCAACATTTGAACTTGGAATTCAGAAGAAAACTGTAGTAATAGCGAACAACAAGAATGAAAAAATTACAAAGATTTTCAAATTAAAATGTTTCATATTTAGATATAGTATCAATTACACTTGTTTTTCCTCTTTTGAGCAAAGTTCATATATATCGATTCTTATATAGTGTCGCAAGTCATTTTGTAGCCGTGCTGAGAAATCGTTGTGTTTAATTAAAAGACTAGACGCTATACAACTTATCCAAACAATGGGCTTTGAAGATTTAATAATAGACAGCATAGCGAATTATGAGTTTATGGCCTTAAAGTCGCTACTGTATTTGAACTTTGAGAAAATTATTACCTTCGATGCACGCATGCACGGTTTGAAATAATAGGGTGAAAATAACTGACTCAAAATGATATAAAACTGTGCAACTTTTTGAAATCTGCGAAAAATATCATAATTGTTTGGTGTACATCCTCCAGAAAATGAGCAAGTATTTTAACCAGCTCCTGATTTTGGAGAACTACACTTTTCTGTATCAAAAAATTCTTCAGATCCGTTCAGATAACAAGTGAAGTAAGATAAAATCTTTGATATTGTAATATAAAAAAAAATAAATTCACATTCATTTACGTCGCCACCTGAGGCGAAATTTGAACAAATTGTAGCAATTAAATCAATCACTCAGTAAATAGGTCGAAACGTTTCCGTTATAACACGGTCGAATAAAATTTATTGGTGGTATAAAAGTCGACATATGTTGTTTTACGATATGCCCTTAAAATATTTCATGCAAACAAAGCATTTAATGTAGCTTTGGATTAAAAGTGCAATAAATTTCGTTTCTTTTTCGAAAACACATGCGGAATTACAGAATTAATTGCAGGTGCCAAAATTGGTAATGGATATAGTAATGGTAGATATAGTAAATCAAAAAATATCATAAACACATAGAACAATAATATAGAATTATATCCAGTAATGGAGTAGAAGATAGATGTGTATATATTACCACACACTTGCCTGCTTGCAGCCTCAGATCCGCAGAACTAATCTTCCAGCAAATTAATTATTATTTCATTTAATTTTTATAAAGATAAAATATTATCAACCCAAATTCATTTTAAATGTTGATTGAAGAATCCGTGCTCCAGTGATCTGCTCTGCAAAATGTTGATTGCTGATCCTCAATGATGTTGATGTCTTTGGTGTGTTGATTGTAGTTTATCATTAAAACTAATTTAACACTAAGAATTATTATTAAGGTTATCGAATAATACCAAGAATCTAAAATCTAACAACATTATACATTAATAGAATGGAGAAGAAAATACACTCTTATTTATTAATTTTAGCAAATAGCTCGGTGGACTCGATTTAAACACGATTTAATTTAATTTTTTTTCGAAAAATGGATTTTGGTTATTTATCATCATCCATATTGTCGCGTTGAATTTCTCAGTTCACCGCCGTCGTACATGTTCAAATTGTTCATACGAGAATATTCACTGACGACTAATTGGCCTGCCATGTTTGAAAAAAATTAATATAATTTTATATAGCACTAAGTACTAAATTTAAAATAACCTAATTAAATTATATATGTTCTGTCATGGATATACTCACACCACATGCCAAAGTAATAATTCTACAAAAAATATCAAGAAATATAAATTACTATTGCTGTAGTTGATATTTTTTTTGCTGATCTACAAACGTCGATAAAATGATAAATCTAGTTTGAAATGAAATGCTTTTTTATTACATATATATAATTTCTTTTTTCCTGGGTCGCGTGCAAAGTTCTTTCGACAAATAATATCCACATCACAAGATAAACGATAAAATAGTTTTCAAAGTGCATCTAGTTAGAAAGAAAATTGCTTTATTACAAAAACCATGTAATCTAGAAATGAGGTGTGCATGCAGAACTTAGACCAATTATAAAGTTATACAACTCACCACATAATTAGATCAAATGAAATTTAGAAATAAACAATACTTCCTAAGTTAATTAAATTTTACTGGGTAAATGTAAATTGTTTCTAATATATTCTTAGAGGTCCTTATAAATAGCAATAGCAATACGTTTTATATAAATATATATAACGATCAGTTAATGATGCAATCAACTATATAACAATTTCCAATACACTACTTATCATCAATTTTATGAATTAGCAAAAGATCTCATGTATGAAGGTGTTCTACACTACCTCAAGTACAAACTAGTTATTGTATAAGTAAGTTTAATTTAATATTTACCGCTGGCGATAATATGCTACCGTACTTATTAATAAATTCGATAGAAGTGCTTTTCAACATGCAACTATCAATTTTGTAGTCACTTAATGACTTCCAATTAATAATTTGAGCTACAATCAAATGGAAAATGGATTGATGGAAATAAATTTGGTTTTGCTGATTTGTCTGTAGGCTGGATTTTCCGTTTAAATTTTAAAAATTTAATATTTATTATGAATATTGATACTAACCGTTGTGAATATTCTTAATGGCTTCTGATATTCCACCAGACAATCCCAATATCGCGTAAACAAATGGCAACATTTCGAAAGGATATTTTAGTTGCTCCACAATTTGTTGGCTTTCTTCTAATAGAGCTTTCACTTTTTCGGAAAATTCTGAAAAAAAAAAAACAAAACATGAATTCATAAATTTTGTGAAATGCAATTGAAAGCAAATTACTCTACTTTGATACCATAATTTATTGTTCATGCTCAGAGAAATATAAATTTTATATCGTCAGTACAGCACTATCTCGAGTAATTAATTTTAATTCAATTACAAACTCTTGTACCATCATTAGTAACATCAAAACATCTGCCATTATATATAATATTTAATATATAATAAACAATTATGTTTTTCTGAATTTTATTATTTCTAATCCATTTCCACACTCCACATTTTCTCTTTGCAAACACATTTGTAGTAAAAATTAAATAAATAGGGCTTTAGGCAACACTTAAATTTATTTAGACATTTAATAATCATTCTTGACAACGATCATTATGTAATAATTTTCTTTGATAAACTATATTTTAACAGGCAGGTGGAAAGAAATTCTGAGAAATATCACATAGATGTCACGAATTGTTAATAATGAAAAGGTACTAGTTGTAAGTGGCATTTTGCCTTAAGGAAAATTTTTGAGTTATAGTGTTATTTGAGTACTCTTTTAAATTTTACAATGTTAAAAAAAATATTTAAAAAACCACTATTTTGACGATTGCTTAATGTCTAGAAGGTGTAGGAGGGTTCGGATAAGATTTTTATTCTAGTTTCAATTTTTGAAAAATTTTCCCCATATTTTGGAAACAACTAGACCTGCCTTCCCAAAATATAACTAGTTTTTTGAACGGTAAACTTTCCCTAAAATATTATTTTCACTTCATCATTTCAAGTTCAAGTCTAGATTGTATATGAAATGAATAAAAGGTTTTAAAGGTTTAAAAAAATAAAATGAATAAAAAGTTTATGAATAACACAAATAAAAGGTTTTTTTTTAAAAAAAAAACAGTGTGTATTTATGCCTCCGAAGGTTAAAATAACTTTACCACATATTTCGTTTTTTCTAGCAGATCGCAGAACTAGGAAAATATTTATCATTAATAACACCCATCAAAGGACTAGAAAAGGAAATGATTTTGTGAGAAGTACATGAAAACTCCACAGAATCGTTATTATGTAGAAAAGTCTCATGTCATTACTATTAAATATCCAAACGATGACACTAATAACATATGCCGGAGTTATTAACATTACCTAGGGCAAACTAACGGCTTATGGTAATTCAAACAAATTGAATATTATTACATTGGAAGATTTTTTTTTGTTCGATGGGTGCATTCCGCTTTCCACGCGAAACACGCCACTCGCAATTTCACAAAGCTAACAAGACTCATTATAATAAGAATGATTTTACGCTTTAGAAGGATCGATGATAGACAGAGAGTTGGACAGTAATCTTTCTATAAAATCAAAAAAAGTTTGCATAAAGGTCATACAAAAATTGCGAAAAAATCTGGAGATTTCAACGCTTCAAACCCAAAAAAACTAGATTTCAAAAATCGCGCAATAAGCAAAAATGGGATGACCAATAAAGTCTTCTGAAAGTGTGCTAATAAATGAATAAATTTGATATTTTATATCCCATAATAAATTGTACCAACAAAATGATACTAGATACAATGTTTTAACATTGATTCTAAAAAAATAATTTAAAAATTATTAATTCTTCTTTTCCCAGGAAAAAAACGGTTTACCAGCTATAAGACCAACGCATTAAAAATGCACGCAAAACACACAGAAATACATGCTGAGTAGTTAAACAAGAAATGACAAAATCGATACTCAACTTGGCATTTTTCTCATCAACGATAATTGTAAGTCTTGACAGGATATGTAAATATTTTCTTCAACAGTTCTCTTATCTAGATTGTACTCGTTTAAATTTATTATGTATATCAATGTGCTCTTGGTGAGCAAACGAGGCAGTAAATGAATTCTTTGAAAATATTAAAATTAAACACAGGATGGTACATAACTCGATGATGATCAAAACATAGGGACAAGACAACAAAAATAATCAAGGAGAGTTAATTACATTTCTAAAACTTGAAATTGTAATGGCAATAATCAATAAAAAGATCAATTTGAAATTGACAGGCATGTTTCCTTGTAATGTAGAAAACATGCCGATCTTTAGAAGATGATGTGTGACTTCCTTTTACTTTTTAATTATTGTTTAAGTCAGAAAACCATTCGTAAATCACATTAAAAATACTCAAACTCTTCTATTTAGATTAATTTGAATATATAATAATAGCTATTTATATTATATAGATACACAGGTATCAGTAAAAAATTTCTAAATTTCTATCTATGTTTATTATTGTTTATTAAGGAGATGGCAATTTATAATTCCCACGGTTTTATACGTTATGCCAAGAATTGCTGACTTTTGCATTAAAGATAGTAGGAAATATGACTTTTCCATTGTCGACAATGAATAATATACGATTGTAGCGGTATTAGAAGTAACATCCAGCTGAGATCAATTTAATCTACGACTGAGCTCGTCTGTTCGATTTAGAATCCGTCAGATTTGTTGGGAGTTCAACATTTATAGCAAGATGGTCAACATATTCTCACGACTTTGGTAAGAGAACAAATTTTAGAAAAAACTCAAGCATAGGAATAAAATATTTCAATAAAATAGTCTCGTTGCTATCATAATTATTTATAAAATTTCCGATGGCCTAATAATAAAATTTTGATCTCACTATCTGAAGATCATCAAATTTTTGCACCAAGACATTTAGAGGCCAATTCTCGGATAAAATAGAAATGTTATGTTACGGGTCTGTAATCGTATAAGGGGGCGCCCATTAATCACGTGATCGAATTTTTATGAATTTTTGGACCCCCCTTGGTTGATACATCGTGATATTTAAAATTACACCCCCCCTTCCCCACCGACCATCACGTGTATTTGTAGTTACGTAAAATTTTTCGAACAAATTTTTGAATTTACGAAAAAAGAAAAATTTTTGCTTTTTTCTGAATATCTAGGTAAAAAATAAATACACCTGATGTCTTATTAGACTCCTATCTCCCCCACGTGATTTTTTGTCAAACCCCCTCTACCCCTAAGCCTGATTAATAGACGCCCCCTGAGTTGGTAGTCGCAAACTGTCAAAAAACGTCTTTGCTCTATGATCAAGCGTTTCAAAAATAAATCCAAACTTCAAAATATTAACTTTGATTAAACATCCCGTATGTGTTATCAGAGTGATAACCAAAAGTTGCACTCATGATATAATTATTATTTGGTATCTGTGCCCTTTGAAAGTAAGGTTTAAGGTATGTGTGAAACTCCCGATCTAACACAATACCATTTTGACCACCAACGCAAGAATTTGCCTCTTATTGCAGGTCAAGAGCTAGGTCATCTAACTGTGCGGTAAATTACTTTTATACCATTATATAACTAGTTAATATATGCAACCCTTACTATAATTGACTATTAGATAAACAATCTACCTCTTTCTCCATTAACAGTTAATGTGGATCCCCTAGAAGACCCATCAGCGGCGCCGCCATCAGAAGCGTTTTCTGAGGGGGGTGTATGACTAAGTTCCGAGCTTAACTGATAGGGGTCCCTTGGAAGAGGGTACTGCTGGTGGGTCAAGGCAGCCCGCAGGTGTTGGTTGTATTCAGAATCTACGGGGGTTCCTTGGCCTCCCATGCCATAGACTGGGTAGCTACGCACTTCTTTCGCTGGAAATAGAAATAAGAAAAAATTGGTAGAAAAAAAAACAATAGACTTGAAATTAAAATATTATGCTAGCAGGACAAAAGGTATACATAAAAACCATAATTTTTATAATTTATAAAATGTCCAGAGTTCTGTAACAATTAGAATTAATTGGTTGAAAGTGGCATTTAGCCTCAAGATAAGTTGCATAAACATCCTGAAATGTGTAAGAATTGACTTAGTCAATCGAAATTGAAATTTAGATATTTAGATAAAATCCGTTTATTTCAAAAATAAAGTTATCGGCTTTCAATTAAATCTAAACATTGCGATTTCCAACATAATTTTTTCAAACACATTTACATTATCTGTAATTATACTGCACAGACACGTAAAATTGTAGCTTATTCGACTCGTCATATCACAAAAGCAACTTTTGACATAAATTTTGACCACAATATTTTCTCAAACTCTGATAAATTTTTAACATTGAACTATTAGTCAAGAGTCGTAACATTTTAGTATGTTTTATAAGACCACGATATCTATTGCCAAAAAAAGTTTTATAAAAATTCGCAAATTTTTTTAGCAGTTAATTTCAAGAAAATGGCCCAGTAGATTTTTACTTAAAACTAATCAGTAAGATTCCCAACCAATATCTTTCAAACAGTTTATGATTTTTTAAAATCGATTCAGAATTGAGAGCTAACGTGAATGAAAAATTTTTCACTTTTCTGCTATTTGCAAAGAAACGGCTCAGCCGATCGTCGCACAAAACTGAGAAAAGATAACCCACGTAGTAATACATCGATCGGCTTTTAAATTTTTGAAATCGGTCCAACTGTTTTTGAGGAAACCTCGATTTACGGCAAAAACACACACATACTTTTTCCAAATTTGGTCTCATTCGATTCAGCTCGAAACGTCGAGAAAACAAAGTTAGCAAATTGTTTTTTTTTATAAAAACAAACTTTTCCTTCGGGAAGTTAAAAAGACAAATAGCCATTCATGTATAATATTTGACTAATATGGTGAATTTTTATATGATTTAATATATGAACATTATGAAGTGAATTAAAGTTATATAGCAATTATTAAAATTCTTCGAAATCTGCCCAGTTTGAATAAAAACTCAACTTCTAACAAGTTCAAATAAATTGTTCTATTACAATTATACATATGAATATATTAAAAACTCCCCAGGAATTCTCCCCATCGTATGCCATTTTGCTCGGCACGAACTATTGGAAAGCTCAAAGCATGTGTGATAAATCATAACATATGATTAAAACGGGCATTGCATTAGCTAACCATCATACGTAATTAGTTATTTCATAGAAAATCGCCATAATAATATGTGCGAGTATAGAGTAGCGGCTCAGTCAGTGATATTTTAAGCGGCACCTGTGCACGGAGGACTCGCGTGCTGCACGAAGAGGCCATCGACGGATACTACAAGTAGGAAGCACCATAAAAATATGATCTGAGAGGACTCGCTAATGGTTTATTTTTAATATTTTATAGTTTTTAATATTGCCATGGGTGGTCAACCAGAATACAGTATCTGCTTTGGGACAAGCATTACTTGGTACCTATTTACTACTTGGGTACCAATCACTTCTTAGCGACGACGAATGAATTTGTACTCCGCATCTACTTTTTGCTCATAAAAGGAAGTTTATGTTTTTTCTTTAAATTTAAAATGCACAGATAGAATAAAATCTAACAAAACTTAATTGAAGTTATGGTTGGAACCAGAGTAGGCTATCCCCATAATCGGGACAACCTGATATGATGAGTTTTGATGAGCCTTAAATAATGTTGCCAAACTGGAATATATATGAAATGTGTCTGTCGTTGAGTGGAAGTAAAAAATCCGCTCTAGCTCATAAGTTGTTTCTTGTTTCAATAAAATTAAGAGTTGCCTCCACAGACACAGTCAAAGTGTGATAGACAAAGTGTTATGGCCTATATATAATAATAAGAAATTTCAATGATAAACTCGAACATATACTTCAAAGTGAGAACTAGCTCATTAATTACAGTTTTCTATCATTAATCTGCGTGAAAAAATTTTTCCAAAAAAGTTGACAATTATTAACTTCCCGTAGGGCAAGTTATAGTAATCGCAAAAAAATCGAAAATGAAAATTTTTATATATATCTTTATGTTTCAGAGGTTTCTGAATATTTTGGCATACCTTAGAAAATATGGATGTATGTGTGTGTGCGTGTGTGTGTGTTCGGATACAAATTTTCGTCGACGATTTCGGCAACACGGATGAAGCGATTTGAATAATTCAAAAAACATTCGATTCCTATTGATAAGGAGACGTGCTGATTAGTTTTTGGAGAAGGCAGGTCTTGCCGTTCCGAAAATTTGAGGCAAAAAGTGCCAAAAACGGTAACTCAGTTTTTAAGAGCGTCCGATTTGAATAATTCAAAAAACATTTTACATGTATTAACAAGATGAAGAACTGATCAAATTTTCATGCCATCTGGCCATGCCATCATTAGACATATGCACATCAAATTATCAGATATTTTATAGAGATTTTAACAATAAGTATAAATTTTGTTCACATTCCTGTGGGTTCCGTACCAATGTTTATCCGTTAGACGGCGGAGCGGTGCTTACGCGCTTCGATATTTCGTATCTATGCAGTTAAAGCAGTACGATTGCTTTGAAAATAGTTCAGAATTTCCAAAATATTTCAAAATATATTTTTCTTCAAAAAGTTTTTTTTTTCAAGAAAAAGTAAATTTTTGTCGAAAATTTATAGTTTCTCAAAAATCTATTTTTTTCAGAGTAATTTTTTTTCAAAAATGTTAATCTTTTTTAAAAACAATAATCTTTTGTACGGGAAGTACCAGCAATTTGCCTTAAGGCACGATGCCATGCGCCCCAATAGTCTTTGAATATTATTTTATTATATTATTTTCTATTACAAAGATAAAAATTTTGTTTCATCCTAACGTGTACAATCCCTGATTTATATATATTTTTATTATGTTCAGTCATTCAAAATGCATGTGTTGTACATGTTCTCTAAAAAAACATGATGTCTATGGAGTAATAATGCTTCACCTATATGAGTGATATTGTACCAATAAAAACAGATTATGATCGACGCTGTAGATTTTAACAATTCATAAAAATTATGAAAAAATGACAAATTATTTTAATTGAGACATGCAACTGGTTAAATTTAGAATCACGTTTATGACTAATTTTTATTGCACATGCTAGGGTGCAATAAAAATATACGGTGGGTATAATTAATTTCCGTATCACTCGAAGCTATGGCGAGGAAGAGTTATATTTCAAAGTAGAAGGGATATACATATTTCATATTTTATTATTAGAATATTTGATAATACAATAAACACTAATGAATTTTATTAGAGTTTGTTTCCAAATATTGGACCATAAAAAATATAATAGTCATGTAAGCTTAAATTAGGTAAGAATCTCGGAATTCGAGATAAACTGCTGTAAGTCTGTAAATAACCTAAAATAGAACTCTAGAAGTTGTCTCAAAACCTACATATGGTAGGGTGTACGTACTATAAGTAGGTTTTGAGACAACTTTTAGGGTGCTATTTTAGGGTATTTACAGTCTTACAGCTGGGTATCTTGAATTCCGAGATAAACTTACTATAATGACTGGGACTATAATAACTGAGTCAAATAAATTTGTAGCGCATATTATCTTGTGACTATAAAGATAGCATCAATCAATTTTCTATATTATTAAAATAGATCATATTAGTCAAATATTACATGTCTTTTATAATTTCATAATCTACCATCATCCTAAGGTTAAGTTTTCGCCAGAAAATTCGATTTGAAAATTTTATGTTTTCTTTCTGGAGATTTTTATCTTTCGTCGCAAGGATTAGATTTGTTTGATTGCGCCCTGATCGGCCGAGATTTTTCCTTATAAAAAGGGTAAAGAAAAATGTCCACATTTTAAGTTAAAACCTAATTACCAAACAATATCTATCAACCAGTTTAAATTTTTAAAATAGATTCAGGAATCGGCACCTGAATTTCGAACATAAAATTATGACATTGAAAAATGTCATAAAATTATTGACAGAAAAAACAAAACATATAGTAATTTGCTTTGAATAATGAACGAAAAGTAGAATCAACAAAACAATATCGTATCTTAGGAATTATTTTACCATTATTATTTATTTATTTATTTTATCATTTCACTGAGAAGTCACACAAGTCCTGACTTGTATTGGAACAAGACAATTATACCAAACCAGGATTCCGTAAAATACCTGGGAATACATTTAGACAGTAAACTAAATTGGAAAACGCATATTTTAAAGAAAAAAAAAACAAATAGATTTGAAACTGAAGGAAATAAACTGGCTAATGAGAAGATCATCTAAACTGTCTCTAGAAAATAAACTCCTCTTATACAAAGCAATAATAATCCCAATATGGACTTATGGGATAGAGCTATGGGGCTGCGCCAGCAAGAGTAACATTCAAATAATCCAGAGAGTACAAAACAAAACTCTGAGAATGATTTGTAAGGCTCCGTGGTTTATGACCAACCACATGATCCATAAAGACCTAAAAATTCCAACAGTGGCGGAAGTTATTAAGAACAGAAGTTTTATCTTTCAAAACAAATTGGATGCACACGTCAATCCGGAAATGCAAATAGTACAAACAGCCGAAAAATTAAAACGCCTGAAAAGAAAATGGCCCAGTGATCTACCGTCAACAACATAATTTCCCTGTTTCGCACAGGAAAATTTTCAAACAAGTTATTTTTAATTATTATTTATTATTGATTATCGTTTTTATTATTAATACTATTATTTTAATTATTATTTATTCATTCATTTATTCTATTTCTTTTCTTTAATTTCCTTTATTCTATTTTTTTTTCTTTTTGATTTTGATTTTCAATACCATAACTTTTAACTTATAGATTGTATTGTAATCTGATTGTTAAAATTAACAGAAATAAAAAAAAAATAAAAATAAATAAAAA